TGTCTGCAGGGTTAACTTGGAACGTAGCCCCTCTACATACTCAGAAGACTGATATCTGCCCGGCCAGCAGCCAAAGAAGGCAGTATACAAAGACATTTTCTGCTGCTCCCATGGACGTTATCTGCTCTTGCAACCAAGCAGCACATCTTGCTCCCATCCCTCAGAGAAGGCAAAAGCGGCTGCTCCCACAATGAGATAACCCCTCCTTCTGCTTGTGTGCATAAAAAAACTCTGCTTACTCTTGGTTAGCAGCTTTATTCCTGTAGCTTCGACAAGCCTGCTGAAGCTTCCCTGCCTTTTAAGTAATAAAAGTTATCTCTCACCCCTCTGGCCCTCCTGGTGGTTCTTCCGGAATATCAAAACCCAGGTGTAAGTTTCAGGCCTGAAGCTCCTGCATTATACTTACATTCTGAAAAGAATGGTGATACGTCAGAATGAGGTAGATGATGTTGAGTTTGGGGTTACGCAATGAGTTCAGCATAATTTATATTGAGTTTTAGTAAAAAAATATATCTAAGTCTTTTAGGCAGTTGGGTCTATCGAATTGGTAACATGTGTGAAACATAACCTAAAGCTGTACCTTAAGAGTCATCACTATGGAACTGGTGGCTGGCTAATAGGAGTGAATGAAATCAGAGAGAGGATATTCATACAGGTAAATGAATAGAAGTTGTTGCATTTGAAAAGACTTCTAAGAAGAAATACCATTGTGCTGATTATGTATAGCCAGTGATGAAACTAGAGTTAGATATTTGGGAAAGAACTGAATGATGTCTCCACTAGCACACCTGAAATAACATCACGTAGTGCCTGTTAAAGGTTGTGGCTCTTGTCACAGGCCAAAGACAGCTCTGTTTCTGTATTAAAGGAATTCTTGAAATTTACCTGAAACATGCCTAAAGTGAGTCTTAGGTAGATTTTGTTTTTACATATTTTTTCTTTTTTTCTGCATGCTTCTGTGTTATAAAAAGAAGGAAAGCTTTCTCTTGAACAGATGACAATGTAGAATATAGGACAAACATTTAGAAGATAAAACTGAAAGCAAGAAAAATAATTTACTGATATATCATGCAGAAAGAATAAAAGTATTTATTTTTAAGAATTCATTACTATTTCAAAATCTTAGAGTAATAATAGTCCAAGTGGCCAGATGAAAATGCTAATTACACAGGCTTTTAGCTCCAGCACTGTGAAGTTTGGGATTATTACCAGACGTTCTCCATCACATTAAATAAATGAGCCTTAACCTTAAAACAGAGAAAAGTCAACATTCTTAGGAATCTACCGTAGGTTCTCTTCTAGCCTTTTCTTTTTTTTTTTGATTACTCATTTTCAAAAGACTTCGATATTTTATTCCATAAAATGTAATCTTTCATTTAGTTGCTTTTTTTTTTTTTCTTTAATAATGCTGTTGGGCATAGACAGTGAGGAAGGATAAAGACTTGACAGTTATTTTTGATACTATCTTTGGCTGAATTTGATTGGTGTTGCATGTGAGACTTTTTCAGGAAAAGTAGAGATGGATGCTTTAACAAATGGTCAATTTGACAATGAAAAGTTTAAAAAAATTCCAGGAAAAATTATTGCTTTACTAAATTGATAAAAACAAGCAGTAATTTGGGTGTCTTGGGGAAGCAGGTAAAGTGGGACTCAAGTGATCCAAGAAGTTACCCAGCTGGACCTATGTGCCTGCAGCAAGATGAACTTAATGTCTTTATGAAAATGGATCTTACTATAATTTTATATTTTCAAAAAAGAGCCTTGGTCTCAATCATGTCTAAGATGTTTTTAACGCTTTATGTTTGTATATCAATTTAAAGTTAAATTGAATTTGTTTGGTAGTTTCAAGAAATCCTTGGTTTGAATTCCTTTCTGGCAAATATTACTATTTGGGAAATAGACTTTAGTACAATTGAGAACAAATCTTGCCTTTAACACTTATCTACTCCCTCTCACTTTATTTCATTTTTTTTCTGATACCTCAAACTTTGTCTCAGATACCAGTGTCCTCAAGCTGTTCTAACTAGTCAGCCTGATGATGACTTTTTGAAATGTCAACATACTGAGAAACCTTAAAATAATCACAGTCTCTCTGACACAGTGCTGTCTCCAGTCTCAATCCTCAGTTCTTGTATAAATAAAAATATCATCAACCTATACTTTAGATTCTAAATCGCAAACTATTATTCTTAATTCAGAATAAGACCTCACACATCAGTCACAATACTATGGTGAGAATAAATTGTGCTTTTGACTCCTGCAAATCGTATTTGAAATCAAAGGCACAAATATTGCATCCAATAAAACAGCATCCAAATTAGGCTCCAAACTTTCAAACCTCTAAAATCACTTTGTTTGATCCCAGCCATTTGCTAGCAAATCTATCTCACCCCAGCAAAACCACTGCCTCTATATTCTCCTCTCTCTCTTTCTCTCTCTCTCCTTTCCCACTGTCTTTTCTCTCCCTACTCCCTTCCCTTTCTTCTTCCCCCTTTCCCCATTTCTCTCTTATTCTCTCTCTTTCACACACATACATATACACCACATGCATTGGGTGACATTTACATGATGGGATACTCTGTGATGTTTTTAGATTCAACCTTCATTCCCTTACTTAAGAAAGCACATCAGCATTAATATGAATAGAAGTGGTAATGTCCACAGGAAAACCTTAATGACTGTCTTGTGAAGAGTAAATTATTTGAAAATTGTAGCTTGTATCTATTGTAACGTCTCCTGAATTATGTAAACTTCTTTACTAGGCGAGAATGTGGCTCCCAAGAGGGATGCATCTAGTCTTTCTAGCCCAAATCCCTGAAAGCATCCTCAATTCTTCCTATTTTGTCTCTCTCCAGTCCATCAGCCATGCCTTTAGCAAATCCTTCATGATTTATCTTTCTACCTCCAAGGCTGCCACCCAAGTCCATGCCATCATATTTCTTGCCTAGGCCACTGCAGCATCTTTCTCACTGGGCTTCTAACTTTTATTCTCACTCTGCGATAGCTCATTTTTCCACACAGGAATAAGAATGATCTTCTAAAGACAAATATCAGTTCAGATATTGATAAATAAAACCATAGAATTAGACCTTGATATCTCTCTATGTCTGATAAGTCTTTGAAGGCCAGTTCTTGCCTATCTTTTGGTGCATTGTATAGCTTCTCCCTTTTGTACACTGGGTTCAAGCAGCCCTGCTCAAAATTCTTTGAGAAAACATGGAGGTTTTTTAAAATATAACACCTTTGCCCTTCCATGAGTCTGATTTGTTTAGGCTTAGAATATAAGTGGGCTCCTTCTCATGCTTTGACTCCTTTCCTATCCCCCACTTCACTGGGTATCACAAAACTGTATTTACTTCCTTTATAGCATACACATGCGTGGAATTACTTACTTACTTACTTACTTAATTAATTAATTAATTTTATTTTCTTCCAGTTTCCAGTAAAATGCAAATTTCCAAGGGCAATAGCTTGACTTTCTTTTTCACCTTTGTATCCACCATATCTGGACTACTGCCTGACAAAGAGATGCTCAAAAATATTTATTAAATTATTGATTCATGTAATCGTTCACTGCAAATTCAAAAAATCCAATTCTAGGTACCAAATATTCATTTTACGATGCTAAGCATGTTATATGTGTTCTGTAGCAATACAATTTTGCAATTACACAGCCCCCAAGACACATAAAGTCATATGACTGTTGGGAGCTGAGCTAACTTGGCGAGCTCTGAGATAAGTGGCACTAAACTATTTTAAGCACTCGGTATTTTTCAAGAAGGAAGCTTGATTACAGAGCAGAGAGTACTGTGCTTCATCGTTCTGCAAGATGTGTGACTTGGCTGACCTTGGGTTTTGACTGCTGTTTACTCATAACGAAGCTATAAGTAATGTGTTCTAAATAAACTCGGGGTTGCAGTATTCACTGTACACCCTCCCGACTCTATCTCTTGTCTTTGTCTTTTTTTTTAATCCTCACTCCCCCTCTCAGGTACTATTCATCTCAGCCGGCTGGCTCCGGCAAGTGGTGCCCGAACAGGGACCTGAGCACGGGGGATACAGTGAAGGACACCGCAGTTGAATAAAGGGAACATTCTGAAATAAAGTGAGGGTGCGGGGAGTACTCGGGAGAAGCAAGAATGGGCAACGGAAATAGCCGTATTATTTTTGTGCACATGCTTAAGAATATGCTACGTGTTCGTGGGGCTTGGGTGGGACAGCAACAGCTTTGCAATTTTTTAGCTTTTGTACAAAAAGTTTGCCCTTGGTTCTCGGAGGAAGGGACAGTTGATTTAGTAACCTGGAAAAGGGTAGGGGAAAAGCTGCAAGATTATTATGATGTTCATGAGCCTGGTAAGGTCCCGGTGGACACTTTTGGGTTGTGGCCCCTGGTCCGAGACTGCTTAGACCCGCGACATGAGAGGGATAAGTGGCAGGAGCAGGAAGGTCAGGACCCTAAGACTACCTCAGCTACAGAGAGCTCTGAAAGAAAGAGCACAACTGAGAACCAAAGTGAAACTAAGCCCTTGGCGCCGCCTGATGAAGGTTTAGGTGCGCCTTTTACTTCCCTCTTTTATGAGAATGAGGAAGACCCTTTAGACCCAGGGCATGCGGCTCAATTAGAGGAAGAAGCCGCCCGATATCATGATGAGGAGGACCCTCTGCCTTTTGTGGCATTTACCAAGGAAACCTCCACAACCTCAGTAAAGGAAGAGAAACATCCGCTAGAGGATACAGTGAATCAGTTACAGGCTTCGCTGGCTGTGGTGATTGTGCAATTACAGCAGCTGCAGATGCAGCAGACGGCACAACAGCAGGGAGGGTCCCAATGGAAGCTTCAGTTGGATCCACCAGTTCCTGAAAAGGAGTCTGCACCTCCTTATATTGTCCAGCCACCCCCTGTAATCTCCTTGGTCCAGGATCAGGGGTCACGCCCGCTTTTGGTAGGAAAGTCACCTCTACAACAATCATTGTAGGCCGCAAGGGATAGGGGAGAAGATATGGCTGGGTCTCATTTAGCTTTCCCGGTTCATGAAGTACAGGATGCTCAGGGAAACCTAGTGCGCACTCATAGAGGGATTCTTTTTAAGCAGTTGAAAGAGTTAAAAATGGCTTGTGCGCAGTATGGGCCTACTGCTCCATTTACCCAGGAAATGTTAGAAACGTTGTCTGCAGAAGCCTTGCCCCCTGAGGATTGGAAATAGCTGGTGCAAGCCTGCTTGTCAAGAGGAGACTTCTTGCTTTGGAAATCTAAATTTGCAGAACAGTGTAGGTCCACTGCGGAGGTTAATCAGGGGCAAAATATACCAATTACTTATGACATGCTTGCTGGGGAAGGCCCTTACCTCCTTTTGGCCAATCAGCTGGCCTTTGATCCTGGAGCGTATGCTCAAGTGAATACCGTTGCAAAAAGGGCTTGGTATAAGGTGCCCCCATCAGGGAAGCCAACTGAAGATTTGTCTAAGATCCGCCAAGGCCCTAATGAGAGTTTCCAGGACTTTGTGGCACACTTGTTGCAGGCTGCTTCACGGCTTTTAGGGAACCTGGAAGCCAGTTCTCTGCTGGTAAAACAGCTAGCCTATGAAAATGCCAACTCCGCCTGTCAGGCAGCACTGAGGCCCTTTAGAAAAGAAGGGGATTTAAACTATTACGTCAGATTGTGCTCTGATATTGGGCCCTCATACATGAAAGGATTTGCTGTGGCTGCTGCCCTGCTGGGAAAGTCCATGCGGGAAATGTTATTTGACTAGTCGAGCAAACATGACAAAAAGATGCCATGATGCCCTCAAAAATCAAAAAACTAAATAAAAAAGGAGGAAACCTACCCAGTTTCTCCACAAATTCTTTTTGATGCTCAAAAAACTGAATTTCTGATGCTCAAAACTAATCGGCATGGCCCCAACCCAGTACTAATATGGGGACGAAGGCATGTTTGTGTTTTTCCACAGGATGCAGAAAATGCCAGGTGGTTGCCAGAGAAGTTGGTCCATTTCGCCCCTCCACCAGTCACCCGGCAGGATGACCCTAACCTTGATCTTGCTGAGCCTGGAGATGACAGCTGAGGGTGAAGTTTACTGGGCATACTTTCCTGACCCACCTCTCTTACATCCAACAATGTGGCAAGGACCTGAGGTCATTGTGAAAGTGAGCAACACATCCCTGCTGGACATGCCATCTATGGGAAGGATGATCAGACAGAGCGCGGTTTTTAACTATACTGGCTTTGGAGTTGGGCTGCCCATCTGCTTCATGGCTAGTGGGACAGCTCCAGGGTACCTGAATATCACAAGACAATCTTGGTCTGAAGGTGCTCAAGTGGTGCGACTGGGAGCACCAGATGGACATGTAGATAATTCTGCCCAAGGGGCACCACAGGAGTTCTGCCCCTGTGGCAAGGGAGACAGAACTACCAATAAGACTATATTATGGAAAAGGTGTTATCAAGAGAAGCCTGTTAGATATAATGTAGGTGGTACAAATCATAGCATTCTGGACTGGTCAAAACCTCTAAAATATGGGACAGAAATCTCGGCCAGATTGTGGCAGTTAGAATCTGGACATTGGCAAACTTACCTTTGGAAACTGGCGGCTGCCATGCAGTATGTGATAAAGGGGTACGAGAAGGGCAATGGCACTATCATAGACAAGGGTCAAGCAGTACAGGCGTGTGTCAACTCTCCCCAAGTTCTTTTGTCAGGAGCAATTAACATTACCTGGAATGAGACTCAGTTTGAAGTAACTTGTGAAAATTGTAATCTGTCTAATTGTATTTCTCTAGTGCCTGACGGCACCGTTGTCATGGTATTGCATCAGCCATCTTTTGTCATGATTCCAGTGAACATGGGCCTTGGTATGCTGACTGAAGCCTGCAAGTGATAGAAAAAATCAATAAAGCCCTCAGCAGACAAAGGAGGGTAATTGGGTTAATTGTTGCAGGAATACTTGCTATTGTATCTCTTATAGCTACTGCTGCCACCGCTGCGGTGGCTCTTAACACAAACTGTACAAACTGCTCATTATGTCAATGATTTATCTAGAAATGTTACTTTAGCATTGAGAACACAGGAAAATATAGATAGAAAATTAGAACAAAAGTTAGATGCTCTGTATGAGACAGTGGAATACCTGGGTGATAAAATCCAGAGTCTAAAAATTAGGTCTCAACTAGAATGTCATATGGAGTATCATTGGATCTGTGTCACATCTAAAAGATATAATGAGACTAGTCATGACTGGGATCGAGTAAAATATCATTTAAAAGGCATATGGCACAATGCTAATGTATCCTTAGATTTAATTAACCTTCATAAAGAAATACAAGGACTTAAAAATGCTAAACCCTTGCAGTTTGACGCTGATAAACTGACCTCTGACTTCTTGGATCACCTTAAGGGCCTTGTCCCCTCATGGTCTTCCTTCTATCAGCTGGCTGCTTCTGTTTTGACTATAGGGGCCTATGTAATTGTTGTTTTGTGCCTGCTTCCTTCTTTACTGAAAAACTTCATTAGTGCTATGATAAAACTTCAGGCCGACCTACATCATGTAAGGCTTCGATATATGGCTTGAAAGATTAGACATCTCCCTCCCGCGGGAGCTGGTAGTCAAAGACGGGTAAGACTCCCTCAGAGACTGGACAACCTCAGACAGGGCGTCCATGACGGAATGCACGTACGATGACAGGTAAGTTCCAGATCTGGTGAGGGGATCACCTAAGACAGGTACAGTCTCCTTGAGCCAGAACCAGGAGGGTTCAGGCATTTAAAAAATAAAAAAGGGGGAGATGTTGGGAGCTGAGCTAACCTGGCGAGCTCTGAGATAAGTGGCACTAAACTATTTTAAGCACTCGGTATTTTTCAAGAAGGAAGCTTGATTGCAGAGCAGAGAGTACTGTGCTTCATCATTCTGCAAGATGTGTGACTTGGCTGACCTTGGGTTTTGATTGCTGTTTACTCATAACGAAGCTATAAGAATGTGTTCTAAATAAACTCGGGGCTGCAGTATTCACTGTACACCCTCCCGACTCTATCTCTTGTCTCTGTCTTTTTTTTAATCCTCACTCCCCCTCTCAGGTACTATTCACCTCAGCCGGCTGGCTCCGGCAGATGACAAAATGGAAAGTACATGGATTCAGCATCAGACAAAACTAGATTTACATTTTAGCTCTAGTGACTATCTGAAGTGACTATCTGAGTTTTAGAAGTCAGAATGGTTTTTAATTTTAGAAAGAGAGGGACAGCAGTGATTGCAAAGGGCATGAGAGTAGATTATAAGATGTTTGTAATGTTTCATTTCTTTATCTGGACAGTTGTTACGTAAATACAGTCATTGATAATTCTTTCACTTGTAACTTATATGTGCTTTTATAAATCATGTATATTACATAAATTATGTGTATGTAATTGCACATAATAAATATATTGTATATTATATATAATTATATACATAATTATACATAATAAATTATATATAAGCCTTAAATTAAAATATATATAAAATAGTGAATTGCTGTGTCCAAGGGTCCAAAACACATTTAAGTTCTTGAAACATATTGCCAATTTTCCTTCAGAAATTATTATGTTTATATTCCCATCATTTTCTCACTCATTTACTCAACAAATGTTTACTATTTACTTACTAGTTGACATTATTAATGGGCCTTTAAGAACTCAGAACCACTTCAATAAAATATATCTTGATCACTTAATAGCCAAATATATAACATGTTTTACTTTTTTATAATTCCTGAGGTGGCACAATTTTAAATATTTTTTTTCCACTGAAATTGGTTTTCTTGTTAATTACCCATTCACATTACACTAATTTTTATTTTGATGTTGCAAATTCTTTAAGTATTAATTAATAACTTATTTTGGTATTAAGTATCATCCCTAATTTTATTTTATGGATGAAGAGTCTGAATAGAGGTTGTGGTTCCATAAAATTACCGCTAAATTTCTTTTCTCTCTCTCTCTCTCAATTATGCTCTCACTCTTCTATATAGCATAAGATTGGAGGCCTTACACTAGTTATTGCTAGAGACTTTATGGAACAAATACAAAGAATTTGATTATATAATTAGTGCTTCTAACTTTTCCAAGTTTAACATGTACAGGGTTTATAATTTTAAGAATAAATAATAAGGCAGTTAATACAGAATTTGCAATGTAAAATATATTTTTGTTCTATGTATTAATCTTTCTCTTTTGTTGTCTATTTTTTCTTTGCTAAATTTTCTCTATGCTATAAGAATTCTAAGATGCTTATAATTCATACTTTCTGTAAATTCCTCAAAGGGAAATATGTGTGCATCTTAGAAAACAAATGTAGAAACCTAATAGGAGAATGATGACCATAAAACCCTAGTGACTTAGTAGCAGCAGCAGCAGCAGTAGTAGTAGTGCTGTGTGCTGTTTTAGAGGCTGTTGATGGGAATTTTTAAACTGCGGACTGATGATGGTGACAATTCTGTGTATATAAAATGATTTAAATTTTAAGACTATTGACAACTAAAACAATAATAGAATAATTCCTAAATAAATATATATTTAGGACAGGTCATTTATTCAATAATTTGAATTTGTATGGTGTCTTGGAAAAACAGTCGTATCTAATTTTATTTTTATCAGCTACTTTTTCTCTTACTTTCCTGTTTTTATTGTTGATGCTCTATTTTAGTCAAATGTTCATAGATTATCCAAAGCCTATGAGTTCAAAAGTAGAAAAAACAGTGAAGAAATAGATTAGTCATTAATGATGTTTAATTAAGAAGTGACACATTAGGGTCATGCTTATATTTTAACTATATATTCTAACTTTTCTCATACCAAATTATTTTGAGCTCATCTATAAATCTTGAGTGGTTGGTATTGATTTTATTTGGCATTAATAGTGTTTTTACATATCTGACAAGTTAAAAAGCAGAAGTTTCAGTACAGTTATGATTTATTATAATACAATTATCATAAATTAAATGGTATTACTTGCTACTTATCTTGCTTCATGATTATCTCATGCTATGGTTGTATAATTATAAATATGATTCAGGGACACATTTATCTATGACCTCTAACTTTATACATAGCATTCTTCAAGATTTAATAATTTTAGAAGTTTAATTGACTCCCAGAATTCCGATGTTCTTTTTCCCCTTAGTAATAAAACCGTAATTTTATTTGGGATGACAAATAATATTTGATTGTCCATTGTCTATGGAGTGTCTATGAGTTCCTCAAGTGTAAATCATAAATAGAGGATATAAGATCCACCTATTGCTTAGGATGGTATGCCTGATAGAATAGCCCAAGGAAGTCCATGTTTTTCTTCCACGAAATACTCACTCCATATTTTAATTACCTATTACTGTATAACAAATTAGTACAAACTAGTGTATTAAATCAACAAATGCTTATTTTCTCACAGTTTCTGTAAGTTGAGAGTCTGAGCATGGCTTTGGGAGGTTTTCTTCTTTAGGGTCTCAGCCAAAAGCTGCAGTCAAGGTGCTGGCCATGGCTGGAGTCTAATGTCAAGGTTCAACAGGGAAAAAAATACTTCCAAGCTTTTATGGGTCATTACAGAATTAATCTTTTATGGACATTTAGAATGAGACCTCAGCTCTTTGTTTGCCTAAGTGAGAGGCTGCTCTCATTTTCCGGCTGGTTGTTGGCCAGTGGTCACACTCACTCCCTTGCCACATGGACCTCTTCAGTGTGGCCACTTAACTTTATTATAGTCAGCTAGAGAGAGAATCTTT